AATTTTATATAAGGCTCCTAACATATTTTCACAATAGCAGATGAAAAATGAAAGAAATATATTAGCACAATTTTTTTTTTACAAGAATTCAAAGTTTGAATTTTGACAACATGTGTGTAAACTAGAAATTCTTAAAAAATTTTCTTTTTAAATCTAAGATTTGAAAATTTTTAATAATTTATAATATATTCTAGACAGATAAACCGTCTTCGCTCAGAATCGTTTTTCGTATACAATGATATACTATCATTGGATTCAAATTTAATTCCATCCATTTCAGTAACTCTCACTTGTAAACCTACTGTACAGCAGAGCGACATCAACGACTTACCCGCCTTTTTTAATTTTGATTCTAATGCCGGGGGGTCCACACAGAGACGACAAAAGTAAAACAAACCAAAAACTCTGTGTTTTTCGACAAAATCAAAACATTTTTAAAACAATTTTGTACTTTCCAACAAATTGTATGTGTTTTGAAAAACAAAGTCGTGTCCCGAGCGGTGTCGGTAAACATCAWAAGGTTTTGGTTTTGTTGTTGTTTTTGCGAACACTGTCGAACGTGTGTGGACRTGTTTTCAARACAACCAACARGCAATATTTTTTATCGGGATTTCGCGGGCAGTACCAATTTGGTTATTTATAAATATATATTTATTATATAATTAAAACGTCTTTTAATCTTATTATTTATTTTTTTTACTTTGTAACTGTAGGTAAATATACCCAGCACCCAACATAAATAAATCTTCATCGTCTTCAATATCTCTTTTCAATTTCCACGTTTTCACTCACAGTAAAAAAATTTAAAAATACTTGTAAGTACGAAGAGTTTAGAAAGTTAGAATACTCTGAAGACAGRCTGAATGACYACGGATGAACGAAATAAAACRACGAGTTATTTATTTTTTATTATTTTATTTATTATTTATTTGCTGTACAATTTACTTGTTAGTGGATACCGGATTGAGATGTCATGAACATCTTTCATGAAGTTCATAACTTTAAAATCGTAAAGCCTCTTCTAACAATTTGCCTTTAAGGTCATTGTGAATTTGTGAACGCCATTAATCATAACATTTAAAGTACAGGCTTATAAATTAATATTGATTTAAATTTCAAATAATATCACACTATACATTAATGCATTATACCTAATTGTCCAGGAGGTGTTAATTATATATATACATTCTTTTTTGTACATTTTTCTAGATAATTTTTGTTAAAGGGGCAGCGTGCTGCTGTCAAATGCAAAGTTGTGTGTATGTGTATCAACGTGAAATCGCAAAYTTTGGAAGGATATAACTTCCAAAATGGTATTTTGCAAATTTGTTTTTGCACCATCATTCTTAGTACGTATGTTTCAAGCAAAAAATGTTTTTAAAAAATGCTGGGCAGCCAAAGTTAATTTTAAGGCCCCAGTGCAAAACACGGGTAGATCCATTTTTTAAAAATGTATGGGAAACATAAAAAACTATATAAAAATTGGCAATTGAACCAAAATTTGAGAATKTGGTGTTATTATTTTTATAATAATTAGATAAACCGATTAAACCCATTCCTTATGGTTTAAATTTAATGTTCATGCCAATATTAAAATTTGAATAAAAGTGTTGGGAGCAACAACCAGTAACCAGTTATGTCCGGACGTATTTGGTTTTTGAGTCCATGAAAAAAAAAATGGATGTATAATGTTTAACAGATATGTCCCGACCATAGGCGCCCGCAGTGGGGGGGCAAGCTGGAGCGTTTGCCCCCCTGGCTTTTTCAAAATATATTTTTTAGTTGAATGTTTTAAGATAAATTACTATATACTATACAACAAATTTAAAGTATAAAATATAATATATTGTATACGAGTATAATAAAAAAGGTTATTATTTTAAAACACCTATTAAAATTATAATATTTATCCTCAAATCCTGACATTGCCCCCCCCCCCCTAGAAAAATTTCTGCGGGCGCCTATGGTCCCGACATTCATGGTTATTGTCCACAACAGAAATTTAAAAATCTGTTTTTATTATTTTATTACAACACTATTTATTGCACACAGGACATAGGTATTTGGTTTTTGGACTGTTCGGTACAGATTTTATTTCTGAATATTTCTATATCAAAAAATGATTTTTGAAAAAATGTGGACACACCTGATTATTGCACCGAGACCGAGGCMTTTTATTTTGTTCCACGTAATAAAATGATATAGTGGTATTGACATATCGGGATAATAATTCATAAATGTAATTATTGTAATTATTTTATAAATTGGAAGTAACATTAGACCGTGGAWTGTGTTTATTCGAAGCAGCTGATTTTTCGGAGTAACTGCATTATCATGCGTTATCATACAAATTCGGTGCAATAGAACGTCGTAACTTTGAATGTTCGAGGTAAACAATGCAACCCGACAAAATACAAGTTTAAGTTTTAACTTATTCCAATTTTTATATTTAATTTGAGTTGAATATTTAAAACATTTTATGATTATTCTTAATATTTCAATATGAATTTAATAGCAAAGAAAACAAATATTTCAAGTTCTTTCTTTATTTTCAGGTAAAAATGTATAATGATAATTACATCTAAAAGTTGAATGTATATTTTATTTTGTATGTATTTGTCTAATGTAGGTGTTAAGTATTAAATTAATTGTAGACATGCTATGTATTATTTAGTATGTATTATGTTAAACTACCTTAGTATAATTACATATTTAATTCAATTATCTCGGTTCTGTACTCTGTTTAGGTTAAGAAACTTGGTAGCAACAAGTTTTAGTCAGGCAATCTCATTTGTCATCCCAATTATTTAAACTATTTGTTTACCTGGTGTGTAGTATTGTCACACCAAGTTATGCACAAGTCGKCCATTGGCTATGTTTCTTAACTTGAATAGAGTATATGTGATAAGCAAAGTCCATTTGAGATCCTGTAGTTAGTACCTGTTACTTAGTCAAAATCGAAAACACTCATATTCAAATTAGAGCTTATATTATGTATGTGTCAAGTTGTCTTTAAATAGAGATATCTAAAAAATTGTTGACCAAATTGGTCCAAATTCTAATTTACTGTGATAAATACTTTAATAATCAACTTATAGATTGTATGTAGTATATCTGTGTTTTGTATGGAAATTATAACCTAATAGAATGTATTCATATATTATGTTCAGCATTTAAAGTAAAATCAGTTAATGTTATATTGTAACTTTTTTTTAATTTCAGATCCTTAACACAAAATTATGTAAAGGAAACGGTTAATGCTCACGAAGTAGAACATCATTCAAACATGAAAGATTATTGGTGGAACAGTGATGGGCCATTAAATGCATTACACTCTTTTAATCCATTAAGGTAATTATAACTAACTGAATAGTAATTAAGTATTAACGTGTAATAATTAATACTGTGTTAGAGTTTCATTTATTATAAACGGATTAACAAATATGAAAAAAATTGAAACGAAAAACATTGGCACTGGTCGAAGCTTAGAAAATATAAAAATACTTGATGTTGGTTGTGGTGGTGGACTTTTAACTGAGGTATAGTTTACAATTTTTCTTACATGTTAAAATTTTTGAATTATTTTAAAACTTTAAAATCTTATATTTATATTTAGGCATTAGCACGTCTTAATGGAAATGTGACTGGAATAGATCCCAGTAAAGAACTAATAACAATTGCCAACAAYCATTCTGTAATTCTTAGAAACAAAAATATTAAGTAATTAGACCCAAACATTGTTCACTAAAATTATTTTTGAAATTTTCATTTTTATTTGTAGGTATTTAAATGAATCAATTGAAGAGCATGCATTATCAAACACAGAATCATATGATGCAATTGTAACTTCAGAAGTTTTAGAACATGTATCCAATAAATATGGATTTTTAACAAAATGTGTTGAATGTTTAAAGGTAWATCTAAATTATTTTAGTGCACCATACTAACTTAATAGTTGAATTATCAGTCAATCAAATTTACCAATACTTAGATTCTCCAATATCATATGACAGGAAATTAACTGTACATTGCAAAGTATTATCTAATACAGTGGTCTTCAAACTTTTAAACTCCAAATCCAAATTTCTTACCATACATTTTTTAACCTATGTTAGCCAAAAAAAGTTTAAATTGTTTAATGTCTAGTATGCCATTGTAGAAGAGTTTTTRTAATTAAATAAATATAAATTTAAATTTTTCTTGGTAATATTTGATTTTTTATTATGAGTAATGATACAAGAAAAAAATACATCTAATGATACAGAAAAAAATGTACATGTTTTAATACTAACAAAAATTAATGAGATATATTATGAGCTTGATTGTTTTTGCATAAAATACTCCATATTGACTCAATTTCACTCAAAGCAATTCCGCAAATCATATTTTGATTGAAGTCAATTTCTTTTTGACATTTTCAAATTTGTTATAATTGAAAACCCTTTTTCACATAGATATGTGGTTGGAAATATTAGAAGGATTGAAATGGCTTTAGCAGTTAGTTTTGCAAAACTTCCTGCGCATTAAGATTCCCAAATAATTTTTAAARAATATTGAAAATTTCTTTATGTTTGTTGTCTCAAGACAGGTCTATTTATTGGTTTTCTAGGTCACTAGGTCAGTAGACATGTTTTCTGCCATTATATATACTTTAATGGGTATTTCAATCTACACATAATTTATACAAAGATCTTTAGGCAAATACTCGTCAAATGGTTTACCCAACGCTGTGGCTTTAAGACCATTCTTATCTTCTACAAATATAAAATAKTACGGTTTACTCAAAAATTCTTTTATCCGATGTCATATGAAATAATTTTTTCGTATTGTTCCTAACATACATACATACATAATAAATCATACTATTATATAATATTTATAAATATGGATATTTTAAATTTTAAGCAGTAGACATATAGCGACCCATTGTTTGAAGACATTATAGCACATTAGTGTGTTTTATGTATAGTTTTAATTACGTCATGTTCTCATCAATAGTTATTGAAGGAGAATGGAAATTATGATTGTCTAAAACTTAATTAATATTCAAAAAAATATATTAAAATCATGATTAAATTATCTAGGATCATGAAAGATAATGTAGAAAAGTTTGTGTTCACAAAAAAACATTTTGTGATTTTTATGCACCCGATATTTATATTTAAATTGTTTACGTTTCAACAAATATTGTAATAATTTATATACTATTAACCCTTGGCTTAATACATAATTACCACTTACTAGTTAATTTTGTTCAAATTGTGGCAAAACGAATAGGCTTGATTTAAGCTGTGACTACTGTTTTAATAAATAACTCAAATATATTCTTTTATTTTTTTTTTTACAGCCAGGAGGATCTTTGTTTATAACAACTCCCAATAGAACGGTTTGTTCATGGTTGAGTGTTATAGTGATTGGAGAAACATTTAATTTCATACCAAAAGGTACTCATGAATGGGAAAAATTCATTTGTMCTCATGAATTGCAGTCAATTTTAGAAATAAATTGTAAGTTTAAAATGATTGTAAAATTTGTAATTTAACTTATAACCTGTGGATGGCTCCAAATGATGTTACTATTAACATTGTCCGCATATACTGAAATACAACATTATGTTTTTTGTTATTAATTATTGTTAGGGGACGGATTTATATGCCCTAAAAAACAATGAAATATGCTCTTAAATTTAAATATATTTTATTTACAATAATATGACCTATAAAATATTAAAATATTAAAATATGCATTTATTTATAAAAATGCCTAAATAAGCAAAAATATGCAAAATAAAAGTGGTGTATTTTTAATCTTTAGATGTGAAACAGATCTGTCTCACTTAGCAATTTTTTTTACTACCCAAAAAATTATACAAGATACATAATGCTTTTAAATCTGTTCCCTATTAATTATATTACAATTTAGTCAGCRTTATTTTGTAAGTACATGCATGTAGTACAAAAATATATTAGTATTTCAATTTTGAAGAATTTTTAAATATTTTTCAGTTTCACAACAAACATAATCAAATATGAGTTTAACCATCGCACTAAATTTGATAAATCTCTATAACTTCTTGCGATAAAAAATTTTTTTAAATGTCTATAACAATGTTCTTATTTTTCCTAAACCATGCATACATATTATAAGATCACCAAATATTGAATATCAACTTATAGTTGAAATACTTATATTTAATTTTTTGGTTTAACTTTGTTTATCTAGGTAGATGTGATACTATTTCAATTAATGGACTGTCATATGATCCTTTTACAAACCGATGGAGTTGGACTGACTCGACTGATTTATCTTATGCTTTACATGCAGTGAAAAGTACATAGCTACTAGTTATCAACTACTGCCTAGTACCCACCATTACTTTGTACTAACTATTAATTATATTATCATGCATTAATATTTGCATAAATTTATTTGTTAAGATTATAGGACAATTAAGTTATAATTTAATCATTTGAAATTAAGTTTATATTTGTTTTTTGGATATCAGGTGTACTAGTACTTTTTTACCTCTATCTAATAATATAACACATGAATGATTTTACCTTTCTTGAAATAAATGTGTTTTGAACTCAAATATTTTTCATAACAAATCAATAGTATAAGTTAATAATATATTAATATGCAGTAATTTTTATTTAACTTTGTTGTTCATTTTACTAAAGATTATATTATTTATTAATTAGAGAACAATAATAGTTTCTATAACTGTATTTTAAATGTAAATAATTTGAATATTGAGTTCTAAACATATTAGTTACACTACTAAAAGTATTAAATTCTTTTAAGTAAAAATATAATAAAATCCCCAAAAAATACAGAACTAAACAAAATAAAATTTGTTTTTCAAACTGCGTAGTGTATTTATACTTCACTGTTGTTTTTCTACATTCTGTAAGAATAATATGCAAATAATGCTTTAAGACCTAACCCTGTTGGCTGTTATGTAATATAATATTTTAATGTTGCATAAACCATTGATTAACTAATGAAAAACATTAAATCTACATATACTCTCATACACAGGGATTATCGTGGATTACTTATATGAATAATAACACAAATTTATTTAATAGTAATTTATTGTTAACTGTATAAATTGTAATGATGTGCAGTAAAATTGGTTCACTTATGAGTTATGACCGATGGACAGTCCCCACTGATCGTAATTCAATACTTATATAATATGTAGTATACATTAATTCTCAATATGTCACAGGGACCAAATTAAATGCCAATTGTTTGTTTCATRTACTTAAAAATAAAAAATTGGTATCACCCAAATAATTTTAGGTGACCTACCCTTCAAAATATAATTACATACCTACTGATAAATTCTATTTTTCCACTCATATTTAAGGTGCTGCCTGGCAATACTTGGACCCTATGTTTAATGCGATTGGTGCACATGCACAAATATATTTAATCAATTACAGTATAAATCATGAACAACAATTTGGCTTGACAAAACTATCCAAATATTCTGACAATTAGATTTAACTAAAATTATTATTAAACTMAAGACAAAAGAAAATAATTAAATATTTAAAWATATAATATACAGATACTTATTGTTAATTTGTTTATTTCTGTATAAGATAATATTTATAAAATTCATCAATTCAAATAGTGTTAACATGTAATAGTCACAAATGTTAAGAGGTAAATTGTATTCTCTCCTTTTATACAAATGTAAATTATACAATATTAGTTTAGATATTATTTAATAGTAAATGGTATTGCAAAACGTATTAAATCGACTTGCACGTCAACAGAATCTTGCTTATGAAATTTGTAAGATGCTGGTAGATCAAATCTTAACTCTGCAATAACCTTAGCTTGGACACCCAATTCCTTTGCCATGGACATAACGCGTTTTCTCGTGCTTGTTTTATGAAGTGAATACACAGCATGAGTAGCAAGACTTATAGCCATTTTTAAGAATATTAGATCAGCTCCCTTTTCTCTTGTCCCAAATGGTGGATTCATTATGACAGTATCAAATGCTTTAAGTTGCATGTTTTTATCAATCTTTTTTACATCACATAAAATAAAATCACATTGACTTAAAACATCACGATCAGCAGCATTTTCTACACTCAAGGAAATAGCAGATGGATCTACATCAAAACCTATGAAACAAATAAAACGGATATACATGATTATTTCGAAATATTCTGATATCATATTATAGATTGTAGAATGTATATAACCTGCACAATATTGAGCACCTAACAAAGCGGCACCAATACTCAATACTCCTGAACCACATCCTAAATCAGCAACACATTTACCACTAATGTCGTTATATACAAATTGGGCTGTATGTAGAATACAAGCTGCAATATGAGATGATGTAGTGTATTGTTCAAGTTCAATTTTTGGATTTTCAAATGTTTCAATATCTTCAAGTGCATGCTGTAACTTCTTTAACTTCATAGTTGCCATGGCGGTCGAGTATTATTTTTCAATGCGTGGCAGGACAGGTAGTATAGAATTACCAAAAGCTGAATCAGTAGTGATGAAGAAACCCGCAGATTGCAAGGCTTGAGCACGTTGAAAATGACTATCAGATGTTCCCTAAAAACATAATGTTGATATTAAAATTAGGAAATAAAAAAGAAAAAATTTTTATCAACATCTATGATTAAATAAGATTTAATATAATGAATTGATAGATGTGAATATGTAATTGACTTATTATGTAATAACTTTTATTCTTAGGTATCAATCTTTTTTGAAATTTTAAAATTAGATGTATTATTATCAAGTAACTGAACTTTTATATTTATAAATATCTAATATTGATGAGTTATTATYATAGATATAGATACTATCTAATAGGTGGTTATTATATAGCTAGTTAATTACAAGTATAAGCTAAACAACAAGTCTACACCCTATGTAATATGTATTTATTTATTTTTTGACATTTGTTATGGAAAATATGTTGTATACTCAAAACATTATTTACCCCTGCATTGGTGTTGATATTTAAATTTAGCTAAATAGAAGATAATTATAACCATTAACTTTTAGATTCTAACCCTATATTTTTGTGTGACTATACTATTATATTCTATCTTTGCTCAAAAATGTATGTTTAACAATTAATTATAAGACATCTATTAAAATTGTACACTGTATAAGAAACATTATTGAACATTATTTGATCGTTCTAACAATGTGAAGTGAAACAACATTGTCATACCGGGGTTGTAGGATGAGAAACTGTTGGAGGAGTTGGAACAGCACCGGTTTTTAATAATATCTGTTTCTTCAGTTCCAAGTCTTCAAGTATCTTTCGATTCTGAATACCTAAATGAGGAAAAAGTACTATAATATGAATTATTRCAGTACAATTATAAAATATATTAAAATAGTTGTGTAAATACCTCTAGCGTTTTGGGCTGGAAAAGACATTACCATTCACAACTATAATATATTTGATTGTTATTAAAATACAATTTAAGTATTTTTAGACAAACAGTTTTTAAATGGAACTACCAAGTTAAGCGAAGATGCATAGTAGAATTGGATCAGACGATTAAATGGTGAGTGCCGACTGCCGAGTGGTGAACTGGTGACCACTGATGAGCACTGATTGTCTGATTACTGATTAGTGAATAGTGATTGGCGATTACTTGATTACTTTAGTCTTTTTTGTCTATAATYTGACAATTTGTTATGTATTAAATGTGGTAAGTCGTAAGTACAACCCTAGAACAATAATAGTACAGCTATAGTCTTTAATCAAATACGGTTATTATCACTATTCTACTATAATGAATGCCGAATAGTGGGGATTGGACCGTGACCGGGACGCGTATATCCGAACCCTAACTACTTTTTAATTCAAAAGTCTTACATTATTGGTAGTTGAACCCAAGTCTCCTGAGACATAGATCCGGAACTTGTGCCAAAAATACTCAATCACATATTCAAATGATACGTATTCATAATTTTTGCCTCGCACACATTTAGCCTATACAATAATGTGGGATTAAGGTGAGACGTCAACGTTAAATATATAATATAATTATTAGTGTTCACTCTTAATTCAATTCGTGCAATTCGTCCCATCTCGCACACTTATAATCGTATTTGATGGGAATATTTAGTTTCACGAATGTGACGTAGGTACCTTATATGTCAAATATTAATAAAAAATAATAATAACTCTAAAATGTCATAGAAAATTAGAAAATAAGAAGACTCCTGTGTTATGTATAAGTTATGGATTTATGTTCACTTATGACACCTGAAATATTAATAAGCTAATATTTTCTAGAAACAAATCTACAAATATTCACTTAAAAAGATATTTTCTGATAATTTTGAAAAATATTCAAAAAACTTCGTTATAATAATATAAACACAGRTTTAATTTACAGTTCTTTTAAACTATAAATTATTTAGTGGTTGATTTTCTTAAAAATGTGGAWGAATCTAAATCAAAATTTAATGAGAAATTTCTGAGGTACYTAGGTACCTAATAAAATGWTTACACTAAGGAGTAAGGATAATCTTAAAAAATGGTTTTATAAATGTATAAATTATTTGTCACACAAGATGTAGTATTTTTATACTTGGATCATTTTTACAAATTATTTATCGTTGTGGTTAGAGTCCTGGACACCGGGTACATATTAATATTATTTAATATGTACCCAAAAGGCAAAGCTTAATTTTCAATTTATGCGGGATTATATAAAATCTCACATTATTGATAACAGTAATAACAATATCGTGTCGGAAAAGTCTTTACGCATGCGCAAATTGTATCAGGAGGGAGAATGGGTACATATTAGATAACTGATAGCTGGTGAACGAGCATCATGACTCTCTACATGAGACATGACTACATCATAGTATATAGAACATCGTGTGTTAAAAAATAACCACACTGCTTTACGTTATATTATGATTTTTATGAAAAATCATAATATCAATCTGAGTATTTCTATTTTAAATATATTATTTTAATATTTTTAACGTTGTCAAACAGTGTTATGATTTTTTGAAACATTTTAGTTCTGATTTTACTTTTTCCATTTTTGTATACCTAACAGTTAATACATTCGTCGGTCTAACAAAGTTTTTATTACATTTTTAAAATGAGTACCTCTGTTGTCGAAGAATTGGACAAAAGTAACAAAGCAACTAATGAAGCCAATGAYGATTCGTTCCWGAAAATTTCTCGTACATATTTCATTTACTACTATCATTGAGTTGAATTCATTTAAAATATAACATAAAATTTTAATTTTTATATTCAGGTCCTGTAAAGACAGTATTGTATGAAGRACTTCAAGAAAAAGATGTAGGTATTACAGAATTTACAACATCTGTTCCTGGGATTTCTGGTATACTGAAGCACAGGTGAATAGAACACCAATATTTTTTTATTTTTTTTTATTTTTTTTTATTTATCATTAATTAATATAACAATGCTCCTTTTAGGTTGTCTGATTTTCAAGTAAATGAAATTGCGTTGGATGGAACTGTTGTTCGTCTTACAAGCCGTACTGTTCCAGAAAAGGAAGCCGAAGATACTTCTTTGAAAGGTAATTCATAACAAAAATAACTTAGTTTCATTTACTCTTTAAACTATTAACTTTTTGATTATGTTTAGATGTTATTGATGAAACTGGTTTATGTGAAAAATACTCTAAAGATATTGAAAAACTGTTAGAGTTACATAGTACCAAAAGTATTGACATTGATGTAATGTTTGTAATAAAAGTAAACAATAAATATATTTTTTTACTTATTTATAAATCATTTTCAGGTGGATGGATTAACTAAAGAACAGCGCAAATCAATACACAATTTTTTAAAATTCAAGTATGGCGCTAAAGTTAGTACTAACACTAAAAAGAATGATCAAGATAAACAGTTTATTGTCATTAGATTATCTAAACTTGTTAAAAATGGTTAGTTATGGTATAGGATTACATGAATATAATCTAATATGTTTTACTTTGAAGTAAATATTAGGTCAAAGATATTTGTAAAATCAGATTACTTTGATTAATTTTAATTTTGTAGTATTATTAGTTATTACGAGTGCTAGGATTTATATGCATTTGCATGGTTTTTCCTTTAGTCTAAATTGATTGGTAGTCAGATATGTTCACAGTCTTATTCTCTATTAAATAGAATCATTTTTGTCTCCATGTTTAAACATAATGCTTGGACTTGGTACTAAAGAAGAATAAGGGATTCAAAAATCTTTTAAAAAATTTTAGCGTCATAAATGGTGAAGATGAAATGGAAGAAGATATTAATCTCTAAGACCAATTGAGTCATTTAAATATAATAACACTGTGTGACCGGGAAAGGTTTTAATTAGTAGAAATCTATTCTAAATTTATATTGCTTATCAATCATGTTTGAAAATTTGAAACAACATAACATAATAATATGTAATATTAGCACATAATAATATGAAGTAAAATTTAATATAAGAATAAAAATTCATTTTTGCATATTTTGTTAAATAATATGCATATTTTACAATTTTTTATTGCATATAAATCCTAGCCCTACTTATCATTTTTAATATCATATCATTTTTTTCCAGAGAGACAAACATGGCCTAAATCTATACCTGAATATCTCCATTTTGCTTTACACAAATGCAACATGGACACTACAAATGTAGTGAGCATTCTCTCAAAACAATTAAGGTAATATTTGGATTTAATTTTAAGACTTGTTTTGTATAAACATTAAATATTATTTGAATTTAACTATTTCTGTTTATTATTTAAAAATGTTTTGGTAAAATTCGGTGGTAGCTTATGTTTAGGTGCACACAAGCATAAGATCCTCTTAATATGCAACATTTTTTACTTAGTACTTGAAAATTTAAGAACTTATATATTTAAAATTACTAATTTTAATTGAGGAAACAGCATACTCACATCAAATTGTCAGTGTCTTAAAAATGTTCAGCGTAATAAATATGTGTGTAGCAAAATCTATTGTGTGTTGTTAGTTTCAATATTATTGGGGCAAAATTTATTAAGTAAAAATATTATCTAGGGTATTTTTATTTAAATTTCAAAGTAAGTATGAGCATTTAAAATTTTTATATTTGACAGTTATTACTAATAACTCTTTTTAAAACAATACCACTCTGTGAGATACACTTGATAATATTTTTGCTTTTATTTTTCGATAGTAGGCCTCTGTAATATCAATAATAACAATTGAATTAATTTTTCTGATCCAAAATTTTCCTAATGTTTATTTTTAAGAAAGAATCATCACGTCTGGGTACTAATGGCATGTTAAATTGTATCTACTAGATGTTATTATACAAGATTATAAAATATTTCAAATTATGATCTTAGTAGGTTAAAATTRTACATACRACTTGTATGATATAAGCTTTAGTTGTTTATAAACAATTAAAATATTATTATTGTGTTGTGAAAATTTAATTTTTAATGTTGTAATGTATAACCAACCTTTTATTTTATATAAATCTGGTGTTTGTTTCAGAGTGAAAGTTAATACAATTAAACATGCAGGCACTAAAGATAAGCGTGGAAACACTACTCAAATGTTATCAGTTAGAAAATTAGATGCCAATAATGTAGCAAAACTTAATGCCAGAAATATATGGACTGGTAACTATGTTTACAAAGATTCTACCCTTAAATTAGGTGATCTAAAAGGAAATAGATTTCGCATTGTCCTAAGGTAATTTTTACAATGATATTTGAAAATTAATATTACTCATAAAAAAAAAATTTTTAATAAATAATAATTTTCTAATAATCTTTGTACTTTAAGATGTTTAAATAATTCTATCAATAACATATGGTAGATAACATATGGTTTTTGTTATTATTTTTTTTTATAATATCATATTCTTATTATAAGAATCTTATAAGAATCTTATATGATCGTTTATTATTTTAGAAATATCAATGGAAATGATGAAGAAGTATCTAATGCTATTGAAATGTTAAAAATTCATGGGTTTATTAATTACTATGGTTTACAAAGATTTGGTAGTTCAGTAGTGTCTCCCACCTATGTTGTTGGAAAATCATTGGCTTGTGGTAACTGTGAAGAGGTATATATATTTATATATATATCAACAATTTTGTTTATTATAAGTGACAACTTGTGAGATTCACCTAAGGTGGTGCACAAATAGTTTTAATAGATACCTATGCATTAAATATATAAATATTGCAAATGCACCATAGCATGAGCCACTAGAATTAACTATATCAAAAATACTGATTCCCGGACAAAAAGTCCGGAATGGAAATAGTTGGACAAAAAGTCCGGATTCATTTTTTGATTGTCGGACAAAAAGTCCAAACACATTTTTAGTGTCGGACAAAAAGTCCGAAAATACATAATTGTCTATTCAATTTTCATTTATAATTATAATGTGCCTTATATTATATAATATTATTATGTAGGTACATGTAATATTATATGTATATAGTCAGTTCATATATAATTATTGTATTGGCAAACGTAGCATAGATCAAATTATTAATTTATATCTGTAAATATATCTGATAGGTAACTTTTTTTTTTAAATATTATTATTATTATTATATTTGGATCAATGTTTGTATTGACAATTTTTTTAAACATATAACTCATTTTAAATTATTATTTTCATTATAATTATTATCGATGTTTTATAATATGTTATCTTAAAAATCATAATCCAGTAGATTTCTGTTGTATTTATGTTAGGAATAAGAAATAATAAGAATAAGAAAATATAAAATATATATATATTATATATAAAATATTGTAATTACACAATTATGACAAATTAGACAATTTTGTTTTTTSGAAATTTTTGTCCGAAACTAAAAATGTGTTCGGACTTTTTGTCCAACTATTTCCATACCAGACTTTTTGACCGATTACCAAAAAAACTATGATAATCYTATATTAATGTATTTAATTTTCATGTTTAGGCTATTGAGCATATTTTGAAACCTAGACCATTGGAGAGTGCATTTGAAAATGACACTGATCGTGCCAGATCAGTATGGTGGAAAACTAGAGACCCAAATCTAGCGTTAAAACAACTGTCAAAAAAAAATTACTCTGTTGAAGCAAAAATAATTCGATCATTAGCTTTTAATGGCCCCAAGGCCTATGTCAATGCTTTTCAAATTGTAAGAAAATTAATAATTAATAAATGTAATGTATAATGTAATATTTATAAATTATAATGTTTAATTAAATTATTATAAATGTTGCAGATTCCAAGAAACTTGGTGTTATTGTATCTTCATTCTTATCAGAGTTTATTRTGGAACAAGATTGTATCACAGCGTATTCAAAAGTTTGGTTTAAAACCAATTGTGGGAGACTTGGTTTTCAAGGACAATGAATCAAAAGAAGTAGCTTTTGAAGTTATTGATGGAGAAGAAAACAAAGAAGACGAAGAAGAAGAAACTAATATAAAATTTCCAGAAGTTGAATCAATATCAGAAGAAAATTTATCCAAGTATACCATTTTTGATGTTGTATATCCGTTGCCAGGTTGTGATGTCAGCTATCCAGACAATGAAATAGGAAAATGGTATATTGATCTTTTAGCAAAAGATGACCTAACTTCTGAAAAGCTTTCAAAGAAAAATAAGTAAATTTTTTATTCCATATAATATTATTACTGTCTAATTTTATAATATGTTTATTTTTTAGACTGTTTTCACTGAAAGGCACTTATAGGTGTATWGTATCTAAAGCTGAAGATTTAGTCTGGACTACCATTAATCATAACGACTTAAATGATGACTTGTTATTATCTGATATTGAATTGTTAGATAATAAGCAACCATTCATTTCTGTACCAGGTGAGTGATCAAATGATATAAAATATTTAAATTGTATAATATGATTTTAATATTTAAAAGAAAATCCTTTATTATAGATRGTTGTTTCAAATCATTGTCGATCGAATTCTCTCTGCGTCCCTCCAATTATGCTACAATGGTTGTAAGACAAATAACCAAACAAGATACTTCGTCACACACACAAGCATCATTGTGCAAAATTTCAAATAACAATAAACGGGACACTCAAAGTACAGAAGAAAAAGAAAACGCTAGTAAAAAAATAAGACTTGATGTACCAACGGAAGACTAAATTAAAACACAATATTTTTATATTTACTATTAGAAATATAATAATGATATTATCTAATTAGTTTGTTATGAGTCATAATTTATGACTTTTATTTTTAGGTTTATCTACGGCATGTCTTAGCATGCCTTTCYACATTGATCTTTTTTCCAAATCCTCTGCCACATGTTTTACAGTGATATGTCCATTCGCCTGAGTGTGATGACATATGGGCGCGTAAGTTACCCGGTGTTGGGTAAGACTTGTCGCACGTATTACACTTGTGTGGTTTCACCTGAAATCATATTGTCCCACCTTGGAATGTTATGTTTTTAAGTATAATGGATTATTGTGTATTTATGGGTTTTATAGTTGGTCAAAAAATATCTAAAAATAAATCCAATCAAAATAACAGAATAAATGTATCTACAACATTGATCGTATAAAATAATAAACTATAATCCATAGGTAACGGCATTATAATTTGATATTATAAACTTCACTAGCAAAAATCTTATCAGAATAATATTTAAGATTAAGCTGACAAAATATATAACTCCATACAGTTGAAATAGTTAAGCTCAAAGTTGAATAAACCTCTGACAAAATGTAGCTTATCCAAGAAAATTAAAAATTTTAATTTAATTTAAAATTGAAATTTGTATTTAAAACAAAAGTTAGTGAAATACTTGCATATTTTTATTACAATATTTATTATTTTTAAAACAAAAATTTTTTTAAATAGGACATTCTAGGGGCGGGAAAAAGTCTTAGATATTGACAATTTTGAATTATCCAAGTTTGACAGTATTAATGTATAACTATTAAGTACAATGTATTGTGTATCTACTACTTAAATACATAAACACACAATACATACTGAACTAGTAAACTGTGAAAGATTTTTACTAGTTTTTAAATTGTCAAAATCAATTTGGGGCCATCTCTGTTTCTGTGCTGTAGATAGCATATTATTTTATATTTTCGAACCCAATGAGATAATAAAGAATGTACGTATTCAAATTTTAAAATTTAAATACTAAGTATGTACGATATAATATCTTAATGACCTATTTAAAATTGAAAAATAATAATTTATTATTTATATTCGTACCAGGATGTCGAATCCGAGTCATTTATTCCGGTGAGATATTTTTATTTTTTAACATGTAGATTGGCAGTACGCCATTATGTCAAGTTAGCACTAAGCCGACAAAACCGCAACAGAGCAACATTACTTCTCGACTTGATAGATTGGGAGAAAAATTAATATATTGAAACAATTCCGTGACTTAATTATCCTAACTGACGACGACGTGATGATGTTCATATTTCTGGGGAAATTTTCAAVTACGTTTAAAAGCGATAAAAAGACATAGGTTTTCTGTTTTCCAATATATTCATTTACAGCGAGTATTTTTTATGCCGCAACATCCGACAAATTGTACGTATTTATAAATATATACAKGGTGATTCTTTTAAGTGGGTACACTAATTATCTCGAAAAGTATTTACTTTTTTCAAAATATTTTTTTACATGGTTTCAAGTTGTTAAAAACCAACGTTTTTATTAAAAAATTATATTTTTTATCCTTATCATTTTTTAAGTGTTTTAGTTTTTTGAATGACAACATAGTGTTTTAATTTCATATTCCAAAGCAGAATATTTTTCTAAGTATTTTGATTCATAAAAATCGAATTTAGGACGAGTACCTAGTTTATGAGTTATATGTATTTAAAGTTTAGACAAGTGGAGTAGTGGACAAACATTTTGCGGGGTAACCCCGAACCACTCCACTCTGTCAATCTAAACTTTAAATACTTATAACTCAAAAACTACTAGGTAGCCCTAAATTCGATTTTTATGAATTTTTAGAAAAATTTTCTGCTTTGGAATATGAAATTAAAACTATGTTGTCATACAAAAAAGTAAAAAACTTAAAAAATGATAAGGATAAAAAATATAATTTTTTAATAAAAACGTTGGTTTTTAACAACTTGAAACCATGTAAAAAAATATTTTGAAAAAAGTAAATACTTTTCGAGATAATTAGTGTACCCACTTAAAAGAATCACCCTGTATACATATAGGTATTTATAATAATACGTAAAATTTTGTCTCATATATTATGCTTCCATTTTGTTTTTTTTTGTTTTTTTATCTTCGTATTAATGGAAAGTTTATGTTCTATTACTGTTGTCTGTTGAGTTAAACTTACAATTTGTGTTTGTCATTATTCTGTTTTGTCGGCTCTGTTTAAACTCTAAAATACAGCCATACAGTACTTACAACCCTCACGGTATTACAACCAGTGGCGTAGCTAGAGGGGTTTTAGCCGTTTTAGGTGTTTAACCCTCGTACTCCCTCCCCCCCCCTTCATTGCTGTTTTTCCATAATAAAATATGAATTATTTACGCTTACATAAACTATGACAAAACTTGGTTCAATTCATAATTTTGCCTCCCATTTCGTAATATTCTGCAGGTTAGGTACGTCACCGATTACAATAACAATAAACCTACTGATATTTCTAACATATTCATTTCATACGCGCTACGTTTATAGCTGTACATAGTTGTTGCTATATACTTATTACTAGTTATTAATGTACTCAAAGTTCTAATGGGTGTTGACCCGTCCGTTTACTTTGGAATGTGTCATTCTGTGATAGTACAGGTTCGAACTGGCCGTAAACGTTTTGCCGCAAATTGGACACGCGTGCGGCCGCTCGCCGCTATGTATGCGCTTGTGGGTGTTCAACGCGCTGGACGTGGAGAACGCTTTGTCGCATTCGGCGCAAGCGTGTGGACGTTCACCTGTGAACAGCCGCATGGCAAAAATACCATTTGGATTTATCGATTAATTCGATTGTAATGATATTAATTAAGGTTGATAGTAGGTATATTATGTGATTGTATTAATATTGTTTGGCTTATTTTCACAGCTAGTGTTCGATATTTTTCTTAAATTATAGGTACATTTAGCGGATGTCTGAAAATGTTTTCAAGTTTTTATTGTAAGTTTACCTATAATCAATACTAAATGTATAGGGTAAACGGTAAAAAATTCCGGGGAAAAAAAGTCCGAGGAAAAATAGTCTGAGAAAAAAGTAATTTAAAAATAATATAATTTATTAGATACACRTAATTATTAATTAWGCATTAATTATTATCATTATTTTAAAATTACTTATATATCAAATTATTATATTAAGAAATTTATATATATACTTACATTGTACATACATTTTTTTTTATGTATCATTATTATAACTAACATGTAGATACATAATATATAAGTTAATTGTCACGTGTAATTTACCATTATTGTTACTACTCCCTAATTTTTTTTCGTAAACAATGCGATATATTTTGTAGTATCAGTTCGACTGGTTCGTTATCTGCAGATCTTTGACATAGTATTTGTCATTTGAAGACTGTGTTCCAAAGTATTTTGTTYCCTTTTAGATGTTAACCCAATTTCATTTAATTCTATTTTTGCGATATCGACACTTATTTCCGGTCGCATTTTATCAATTAGCTTCCATATCGTATAGGATGGTTATGCCCCACCACATGTTTGAATCTATTATTCCAGCTCTCACACAAATATTGTTTGTTCGATGTTCCCCATTTAATGTTGATTCGTGCACGTTCCATATCTCTGKTGGGTACTATACGCTTTAATTCGACGTAGTTTTAAACATTCTCCCGAACCAACTTTTTTGTACGTACCTGTGACGTATGYACAATCAAAGTTCTCCAGTAGTACATAAATATTCTCTTTTTTTACTCTTATAACATACAGTTGTAAAAAATGTTCAGTACTCAAAGAAAAGTTTCCATCTCATAACCAATTATTGGCATCAGTGATATATCGCAAACCATCATCCAAAGAAAAAATAATTACTCGTTCATCCGAATCTGGTCCACCATCGTACAATAAAAAGCGTTCATTTTTATATAGTGTCTAATCACCAGTTATACTTAGCTCTGATAGATTTTGAGGTTTTTTGGATACATTCGTCCTTTTCCTTTATAATTATGCAATGTTCTTTTTACTGTGTTTTCTTTTCTCAAATTATTGACTACTTCCTCAAAAACTTGAGAAAGTGTATTTGTTGACATTTTAAATAGGTTTTAAATTTCTTCCTTTGCTTTTTCAACGATGCCGACGTGTAGATCACCAGCATGTTTGGTGGAATGCTTTACATCTAAGCTTGGATTCTTTAAATCTGCATATATAAATATATTCTTTTTACATTCATAAATAAATAAGTAAATTACAAAATGTAAATATATTATAAACATATGTATTTACTTCTGTTGGTAGTTAATGTACCAGGACATTTTTTCGAAGACTTCTGGGAACATTTCCRTCTCATACTTTTTATTAGTTTATGCTGGATTGTATATGTAAATCCACCAAAAATAATTTTTTTCCATTTTTTATTAAATTTACACTAGTATCCATTWTATAAAAATATATGTATTACACTATTACTGTTAACTCTGTTATGGCCTATGACACGTGGTTGACTACTATAGTGCACTATATCGTAGGTATAAAAAAAAAAGTAATATTACATGTTAGTTTTTAATGGAAATAGGTACCCCTAGACCCAAATTGATATATCATTGTATATAACCCGTCTATAATAAATACATTTGAGTATACAAGGTGATTAACACATTATTTGAAAAAGATATTTAACCTTATTAAAACATTTTTGTCAAATMATTTTTTACGAACTWATTTTATTTTAATATATTTTATAATTTACTTAAATTTAACATAATAATAATAAATTTATATTTAAATAATTTTTCTCGGACTTTTTTCTAATATTATGTATAGGCACCACCCGGTAATTCATTTGAATGAGTATAATATACTATTAGAAAAGTCATGCCACTCAGCATAGGTGATCTTTAAAAATGTATGAAAAGCTTAGATAGGTAGGTACCTAAGTATGCGAGTATATAAGTACCTAACTTTTATAGCCATTCTGCAGGTATTAATATTGTATTTATAATTTATATTAAGCAGTTTATTTCCCTGCGATGTTCAGGGTTATAACTGTTATAAGTGTAAAATATACTCATTGAATTATACAGAAATCCAAAAAAAAAAAAAACAATTTCTATTAGAAACCTGTAATTTTAGTTAAATAAATTCAACATATCATTTAATGACGTATTCTAAYAAGAATACAATTTAATGAGCTCTTGCTTATTTTATAATAGTTTTGTATAATAAATCTAATAGTTCTTTTCTGGAAAAAAAAATCATGCATGCTATTATGATAGTTTTGTTGTCTCACCTGTGTGGGTTCTTATGTGCCTTTTCAAAAGTGACGGTCTATCAAAACCCTTTGCGCAAACTTCGCAAAACAATTTGTACGGTTTTTTTGACTTGACATGACGCGACGTCAAAGAACTCTTTACCGACAAATCCARTGGTTTCAAATCGGCGGAATTATCTTGAAAAAACTCTCATCAATGTAATTCAATTTTCACTTATGCGAGTAATTTAAGAATATTATATTATTATACATTTATAAAATATTTTATATTCATATTAGACTTACCTATTAAAGTTGGTTTACAACTACGTTTAAAATTATCACACATTTTATTTCAATGTGTGAAATCCTACGTGTAAAGACTTCCGTCACCTTGCCGCGATCCACCGTATCTACTTTTACAAAGTATACACACATACACAGGAGTCAATAAATCACTTAGATACATGTACCTACCTATCATAAACACCTCACACGCCAATGAAAAGCTCTTTATATAGAACGTATAATAATTTATAACAAATGGTTCTGGTCGGTGCTTAACTCTATTTTTTTTCAATTTCAATAAACTATAATACTACACAGTGTTAAACAATGAAGTGGGTATATGGGTCGTTCACGAAATCTATTCTATAATACAGGTACTTATCAAAAACGTTGACGCTACGTAGTAACGAATAAAAATATTCAATATACATAGGTACTTAATAATATTTCAAATTTAGAAATTTAAAGTCACTTATAGGTACCTATCTATTTTAAAAGCAATAAAAACAAATCCCTACTTAATATCATATAAATAGAGCTAATAAAGCTGAAGAGTTAAAAAAGTTTGAATGGGCTAATCTCAAGAACTACTGGTTCGAATTTAAAAATGATTTTTTTGTTGGATTGTCCATTTATCAAGGAAGRCTAAAAGCTATATAACATTTTTAGGAAGTCCATAGGTTAAATTGGAACTTAAGAATTTTTAATAAAKTTATGAATTTGCTATTTAAAAAGCCGTAAAAAATATCGTAGTTTTAAAATAACTATAGGCAACGAAATATTATTAATATGTTAAAATAAGTTATTTCATTATTTGCAAAATATCTGAAGGCAGGATTCGACACTGTAATTTTATCTACGTCAATTTCATATTTATTTGTAGYCTTGTCCATCTAGCCATTTCAAGTGTACCTACTACTTACACTGGCTAAACTATCCACATTGATCTCGTCACAACCAATACACTGAAACCTAGATAGTAGTTATATAAATATAATTTTAATAGATTACTAAATTACTCAATTATTAAGAGTTAATGAAGTATCAAACAATTTTTAGCTAATAAGTTGAAATAATATTACAAAATGTAATGGAAAAATTTTTTAAATTAATTTTATAAATAAAATACCAAATCTTAGGTATAATTTACCTGTAACCAATCATATATATTAATCTGGTCAAACCTTGACTCTAAATGCAATTTRTATACAATAGATATATCTGGCATGGTTTTAAATATCTGTTCTGTAAATTCVAATTCACAGCAATCACACTGTTGACATAATATTTATTCTTTAATTTTATGAAAATCATATATATATTAAGATTTTTTACATTTATATAATATTGCGGATTGAGCAGCTCTGTCCTCTCCAACAATGACATATCGTTAGAAAATTAAACATCGTAATTATATTCTCATGCGCAATGAATGATAATATGTTTTTTTTTTAAATAGGTACCTACGTGCTTGCTTGCGCTGTTGTTGTTATACTTGTTTGATAAACTCTGTTCTGACTTCTAATAAAATGTGAACCACAAGTAGAAGTATTTTTTTTTTATTATTTTAATATGAAAATAGTTTTTGTTTTCATTTTGAATACGTTTAATACAAAATAATTACACGGGACGCGTTATGTATAATATATTAATATAGGTATGACATTTTAATATTATTACAATACCATCGTATTATAATATAATATAGGTAATTGTAACGATTGAGCGAGTGGCGATGGTGACCTATATGTTGTATGGGTATTAATACCCGTGTCGTACGCTCCATTTAAAATTTCCGTTTCTGTCCGTCTTGACAAAACTGTAAACGGGTTTCCGGTCACCGAATCGATCATCGTCACTGCGCCTGTCGGCCGAGTCCGATCGCGCTTCCGGTGGYGGGGATCTCGCGTCCCGTAGCTGCCGCTTGATCCTGAATGAACTGTGCACCACGTGGTCAGTGACCGTGCCCTGTGACAGCGGCCCGTCGAACTGACCAGTGAACGGCATCTGGAACGCGTCCACGTACTGGTGGTGATGGTGTGGGTTATGATGTAGTTGGTGCAAATAGTTGTTGTTGTTGTTGTTGAACCGGAACGCGTTCGGTTCGGCGAATGAAGGCGATGGTGGCCTGAGCGGCTGTTGTTGAGCGGTCTTTGGMGTGCCCCAGTACACGTTTTTGTTGGACGACGACGGCCGTATGACGGCATCCAGCGGCGTGAACTTGGTGTTGGCCGCAGCGGAGGCGTCGAAACCACTTCCKCTGAAGAATAAAGATCCGCCACCGTTGGCCGGATACTGTTTGTTGTTGCGTACCGAACTAGCTGTCTCTTGACCAAAATCTTGATGGGAGAACGTCTGGCCACTGCCGCCGGATGGCTGTTCCGGGCCGCCCAAGAACGGGGGCGTGAGTATCTCACTAGCGTCAAATCCCAGTTCCCAGCGACCCCCATTTTGCTGGTGCTGGTGGTTGGCCGCGGGATCGTTCGCCTGCAGTGACGGTGTGTACGGAGTGAACTGTTCCAGTGGTGGGTTGGCAAACGTCAGGCTGTGCACCTGGTTACTGGGTGACGACGTCTGTACCGCGAGTGAACCGAGTGACGTAGTGCCGTGCGACGGTGGCGGTTGAGTCTGGGCCGAGGGAAAGCCACCGCCGCCACCTGTGCCTCCACTCGGTGTGAACGGCGACGTGTGCACTGCTACGGGCGCCGACGGTGCAGTTAACGGTACGAGTGGCGGCGGCGGTGGTGCCTGTACGTTTTGGACGTGCGACTCCGGCCGATTCAGCGTCGTCGGTTCGCCGCCCGGAAAGCTTTGCTGCAGTAACTGGAAGTCGGCCGCGTTCGGCGGTGGCGTCAGATAATCGATAGGAGTCCGGCTGTCGGCTGTCAGGTCTACTGTGGACGCCAAGTCCGGCGGCTGTTGCAGCTGACCRCCCGCCGACATCGATTGCAGTGGCGGTGGTGACACAGCGGCCGCTGAGAACATATTATTTTGCTGATGCTGGTGATGGTGATGGTCCTGGAGGCCTCCGATCCTGGCCACGGTGTGTGACTGTACCGGTACGTTTTGTCGGCGAGCTCTCAACAGACCTATCAAACGTACGTCAAATTTAATATTAACTCGGTATATGTAATATATATTATTTTCTCTCTGATTATCTTATCTTTGTGCACAAATGTTTTCAAATATTTTTTATAATACGTATCGTTTCACTACATGGGGCGCAAAATTGAGTAGTTTTTGGTGTTTTTTACTATGTTGCACGAAWTAAAACAGACAACCTCAACATCGGCACTCAATTCTTTTAAAAATTAGTAAAAGAAATGTATAAAAGGATTACTAAACAGTGTTGTCGTCTGACGAGAGCCACGCCAAAGGGGGGGGGGGCGATGATAAAATTAAGGAAGAAAAAAACTTTAATGTAGCAGATTTTTCATATGAAGTCTACTTGTTGTGATATTACGTCTCTACCACTTTCTTATGTTTTTGAACTTTTTTCTCCTAAAATTGTAATATCTAGGTACTGTTTAATACAAAGTTTTTTAGGGTTTAGATGTTTAGAAGAATAGAATCGAAAATGTGAGGAAGTCGATCTCAGCTAGACTTGATGGCCAATTTAAATATGTTTTCAGTATTTATATTGCTTTACTACTTTACGAAATTGCCTAGTTTATTTGATCGATTACTATAATAGGCTCTGMAGTTTAAAAATAGTATATTATATACCCGTACGGCCATACATTATACAACCAAGAAACGATTATCATGGCTCGTAACCGACTTATTTTTATATTGTTATTTATTACGTATACAATAAATCGTAGAACGTGTGCTATATATACATTGCAGTCACAGCGATGGACGTAAWCCTCGCCAAATCGCGCCTGTACGTACGACTTACGTAGGTACATACACGTAATATATATGATTTTATATTATACGTTATTTTACGTTGCGAAAATTGCCACGACCGTTACATACCTAGTCCTGCGCAGTATATACGCAATAACAACTGGACATTTATTTTACAACACGAATTTTTTTGACTACCCCATAAACGTGAAYYGTCAGATTTTATTGCTCGTACGCACAACTAGGTATATTATGCAGCCGATCATTGTATTCGACCGAGTTTTATAGCTTCTGGGGCTGGGACTTCTGGTTTACGACGTGATGGTGTGTACAGGTAAAATAACGTACGAGATTTATTTRAATTATTTTAGATATTGATTTAAAGCCAATCGGTGTAGCTAAAATATCGGTACATTAATTTTTTTGTTTTCATCAAATGCTTATCGTATACGCCTATACTTTCCAACGAATAACATAATAATATTGCATTGTGGACGTCGTCGCACCCGCATGTGTTATCTCTATCTTACACACGTACGGCACACCAAATTTTCATTTACCACATTCAATATTGTGCTGTTAGTTTTGATATTAGACTGAATTGAAAATTAAAGGTTAGATTATTATCTAGAGCACCAAATAGATTTTTATTGATATAAATGGGGCGCTAGATAATAATCTCACCTTTAAATTGTATGATAGGCTAATTCAATTGATAATAACACAACTATAAGAACTAACAGCACACTATTGGAATTRGTAAACGAAAATTTGCTATGTCGTACGAGTGTAACACGATGGAGACAACAGAATATGCAAGTGCGACGTCCTCTTATCGCTTGAAGGTCATTTAAGAACATAAAAATTCAAAGTTTATATTAGTGATGACACTTAGGTAGGTTGGAACATTTCGTATAACGCCCATTTCGATCTAATATGCATATCAACTGCAATGAAATACAATTTAAATATTATATACCTACCCTGTGAATATATATAGGYATAGATCATATTATTATTTCTTTCAATATTGAATATCATAATAATATATAATGGATCTGTTATATAATTATCTATGACACATATAGCGATAATGATTATGTACAGTAAAAAAAAAATTAATAATAATATAATGTGTTTAGTTATACCTGTCTTGAAATCGCGTTCGATGACGTATATCTTTTTGACTTCGAATAATACCGCAACGGATACGGTCGAGAGGAACACCTGTAAAAATATACATATTGTGTTTGATTTTCATTAAACGTGACATCTGAACAACGGCGGGCACCTTATGAGATCAACGCGACCAGCATTATTGTTAATGTGTTTTTTGTGATTTTATATTATATTATATGTTTTCGTTTTGTTTTTGATTGCGCAACAGTATCCACATGCCCGAGCGGATCAAAAAGAAAATGAGGCCAAGAAAACATATAACATGTTACTTTTCTTTATTGTCCGTTGATTACCTAGAGCGTTTTTTCCCTACATGTCCCCGCCGTGTTCTTTTCATTTGGTAACCGTCACTAATATTGGGCCGATACGCGAGGGAAAGTGCCATCAATGTGACAAAATGATAAAAAAAATAAATAACGTATCTATGATATAAATATATAAATTAATATATATTGTATATGATATATCATAGCTGATGTGAACAAAATATATATATAAGTGTAAAAATAAATACGTGTATGAAATGGGGAAGGACAATATTAGACGAGTTTGAAATCACCTCCGATTTCGTGAATGTTATATCTTAAAACTATAAGTATTAGGTTTCAGTTTTTATATGTAAATTGTAAACACCTGCAGAGTAAGATACAACCAACATTCGAAATTTAGTTGAATTTACATGAATGTGTAAAATATCTATGTAATGTTAGCGGATAAAATTTAAAAAAATAAAAACTATGGCAAAAAAAATATACAATTGTAAATTAGTACAAATATTGGCATTTAGTGAGTTAAATGACGCCAATAAACTCTTGCACACAATAATATCAAAGCACATTTTTTTTTCATTCTCTTCTGAGCTTAAGACAATTATTTACATATTAAATTGATTTTTAATTTACAAATTACATCGATACAACTTTTTGACTATAGCACTATTATGTCAWGTTGAMAATTAACTTATTGTTACTTTTGATTTCGATATTGGATGCAATAAATAGATAGTAGTTGTTCTCAAATTAAAATAAAACATAAGACGTATTTTTTTMAAATGTAATCAATCATCTGTATATACATATGTATACWTTTTTCAACCAAAAACTTTATTAAAATAATGTTGATTTGTTGAGGCTAATGGTTTTTCCAAGTCTGCTAAAATAATAAAAAAGTACCTACTTAATAGCCAGGCTAGTACCAAATTGGTTCCTGAGCCTCTGCCCCATATGCCGAATTAGTTTCCATATATAGAAGATATTTTATTAAGAAAAACTGAATTGGTCCCCGTTTACGTTCAAGTAAAATAGTAAAATTTTAATTTTTTAGCAATTTTTCACGATATGAAATCATAGGTACTATAAAGAATTTACCAGTATTCAAAAATTAAGTTATATTGAATTTTAAATTAATACAAGAAAACTTGCAGAAAACAAAAAAAAAACAGTCAATACTTGGAAAACTGTATGACTTGTTACATTAATGGAAAACTTACTTGATTAGAATATTTGAAAAAAGTTTGTTGTAAATTTGCAAGATTAGTTCCAACCCTATCAGCTGAACAATTTTATATTTTATATATTTTTTTATTTTATATACCTAAGCTCCTAAGCGTGACTCCCATTTCAAAGATGGCCAACGCATGTTTTAAATCATGACTACTTTAAAGCTCGCAGTACTAAGCCTTTAAAATTGGTAAGAAAAATGTGCGTCAACAATTAAAAGCGGGAACCAACTCAACAAGTAGTTGAATATTGGGATCATTATGGATTTAAACGAGAACCAATTAAGTTATTTCCAATAGTTAACATCTATAGACTGCAGTATGTTAAAAATATAATCCTAATTATTATTACCTTTATAAATTATTCAATTTTAAGCCCAAATTCTCTTGAAATTTAAGTTWTCYGATACTTTGTAAATAGTGTGAGTAGTGAGAAATTTGAAATTACATTATAATAACTATACAAGTAATATTTATTTATTTATTATATTATGAGATAGATATCTGCAGATGTACCTACTGTGTATATTATAAAAATGTTGAACCCTAGAATTTTAAACAGTCGATTTAATAAACCATCCAATTTCGATGGGGTATTACTTTATAGGAAATTTATAATACMGATTGTATTATATATTGTATATTATTTGTACAGTATTAAAAAATAAAAGATATACACTTTTTCATATGAATATTATAAAAATATAATATATACTAACAAACTAGTTATAAAAATGTACACGAAATACACTAATTCCATACATAGGTATACAAATATACAATACTAATAGTACGGCCAATATTAATAATTTGTACGACAAATATTAATTTAAGTTTGGAAAAATAATGTATTTACTTACCAAACAATAATATAAAAACTGCATTGTTAAAGTGATTAAAATTTAAAACTAAAAAAAAGTTAAAATAAAATATAAAATTTTTTAAACAGTATTACTATGTTRTTATTAAAATAAAGTATAAGTTATAAATTAATGTTGTTGGAGTAGATCACTATTATTCGGTTGCTTCAACGTGTGGCTACAACGTACAGATTGACTTTTTATTATGGTTGACATTAGAACTGTCTAGGCTGGTTTCTCCTATTCCCCTCCACCTATTACGTTTCAAAAGAAATATATTTATTTGTGTTTGTATTTTATCATGAAAGAAATGATATTATTTTACAATTATAATGTACCCACCTCTTACAAAACGACCAATTCAAATGTCAAATCGTACATTGTTAGCACAAAGACGCCGATCTACCTATATAGGATTTATTTAGTAATGATGATTGCGTGTGTGTTGTTACTTGTTAACACAAAGTTAATCGATAAAGTTCGTTTAATTTGATTTTAAGATAAACGCATTACATGTAGATTAGTTTTAAACGCATTATTACATTATAGATAGACGATAAATGACAAAAATGACAATAAATTCAGTACCTTATTAAAATAACGAATTTATATACCTATACCTATATAGAGATGTATGACGAAAGAATTTCAATTAATAAATTTAGGTCCTAATTTTAGTCTTAGATAATAATTTCATCAAAAGTTTCTTAATATTTTGATTACCTTCATGGGCTACATGTCACGTAAAAACATAAATAATAGGTGCATAAATCTAGATTCAAAAAATAATRCTCACTAGTGTCAAATAGTAATTTTCATCTTTCTGGTCTAATTACTAAAATGATGAATATAGTGTAAAACAATAATATTGTTGTTGTGTACATAAAAAAATATTTTAGCATTCTTTTCATATGAAATTATATTTGTTACTCGATTATAATTATAATTATTYTGTATAAGTATTAAAGTGGTATATTATGTCCTGTCACGTTCAGAACGCATATTAGATTTAGTCTATTCTATTTTCTAATTATTAAACCAGTGTCTATAACAATTAATAATGATATTATAATCTCCCGCTAAAGTCGTTGTACCTAAGGAAATAAATTCATAAAAAAATGTATCTATATCTCTTAACGTGCATATTATTTTCTAGTTTCATGTGAATTAATTTCAGTGTATACGCCTATAACTATTATAATTGATGTTTCTGTACATTGTAATCATAAAAAATTTAATTAATGTTGTATATATCTATAGATGCCAATTTAAAGACTTGTAGAGTAATTGATTTTTGGACCATATGATAGTGTAATACAATAATACATAGCGAKATTATTCTTGCGGATACGGATTATTAGATCAGAATTAATCACATTAATACAAAATTAAATTAAATTTTTCAGTGAAAGTTACTTTTATTTCCATCGTGGGAAAAGAGAGTCAAATTGAACGGAGAGCATGGGCTGACCGATACAACATTAATAAGGTACCTATTACCTATATTTTTTAAGTGTCAACTACATCAAATAAGGTTCTTACAAAATAAAACGACCAAGTCACATAATTATATCTGTATTGCTCTTATTATGTGTAACTAAATTATGAACGAATGAACAATGTCGTCTATAACATCATAACCGCATAGACGGTTGGTGTAATAATAATAATATAATACAATAGTCGTTACAAAATACCAATCAATACCTTCTAAGTTTTTGACAGATGTTTATGTAATGGACCAAGTCTTCTGAAGGTTCTAAATATTATATTATATTTTAAAATAATTTAATGTATTGCTCTAGATACTTTCATCATTTTTATGTTATAGTTTTCTACACTATATAATAATGTATTAAACATATTATTATAATTCAATGGGTTATTTGTCTACTGGCTGTCAATATTCTCAAATGACCGAATATACTTATGTATTATAAAAATATAAGTTGACAAAAAAAAAAATAAACAATTTATTTTTCAGAATTAATTATATTATACATAAATGTATGTATATTATATATATTTTATATATTTATATATTATTATATTTAAAATTTATTAGGATCACCTATTTGCTTCTTTTTTTTCTAGTAAATTTTGACATTTTTCATAATAGTCAATTATCAAACATGGCTCTTCTTCATTCAATTTTTATATCTTTAAAATGCGAGGAAACGATTAAATAAAGTGGGAGATTACAAGATTACAGTATACAGTGGTCAGTGATAGACGACACACACACATATATATGTGTATATACATTATACATTATACATACACAACAACTTATGTATTTCAATACAATGATACTCTACATTACAGTATTCAAAAATAATAATTATATCTTTATTGGTTTTATTATAGCCTATAGGTTTTATATATTATATTATTTTATATTATTATAACCAAACCTAACTATGAATACCTAGTTATTTGCTGTTTATAGAAAACAAATAATTTAATTCTAATAAAACATAGAAATCAATACCAATTATATTTTAATGTTTAGATTTTCTCATAATTAAAAAATACCTTTCACAATTTTTACGTTATGTTAAGTAACTAATAATTCAAAGTTATTTGTTTATTTCATTATTCAAAATTTGAGTGATTATTAAAAAGAGAAAACTTTACAAACCGTTTTAGTTTAATTGCATATAACTTACTGCTGGAYAATTATTCCTACTTACTTTACTTATCTAATATTTGTTTTTTCTCAATGTTGTCTAAATTTTATCTGTTTAATGTGCTCTGAAGCATGAATGTTTTATAAAATAAATTGATAAAAATAACAGTAATTTAAAAGTTTAATTAAATAGATCAATAATTGGTACATCCAAATATAGGTGTAGTTAATTGTGCAGATAGAAAACTGGTGTAACACAATTATTATTATAATATTTGAAGTATAACATAATTTTAACACCAAAATAATTACGTTTCCTGTTTTATTACAATTTAAGTAATAACCCATCTATAGGTATTTAAGTACTTTGATACAGGTTTTTATTGTAAAACGTATATAATTAAATTCTTAATTTTTTATCTGTTTCAAAATGAACTTATTCCCCGTTGCTTCATCCATGACTACTCCAGTCTTCATATCAAAAACTAAAACGGGAGCTGTTTTTTTAGTTGAGCTTCCTATATTTGTCGATGCTGCTGGCGGWTCTATTAATCGCTTCGGATGGTTCCGTACACTTTTAACGGGTTTCTTGGGTTTATTCTTAAGGAGTGTAATCATCATTGGTTTATAAATCACGGGTCTTTGACGGCTCTCCTAAATTTAACAGATGGATTTTATTATATTATAAACAGGGATTGCCAATTAATATTTTGGTGGGAAACTAGAAATTATTGTAGTTTTCTCTGGGTCCATCAAAATGTTATTTACATGATGCTGATCCAAAGTATGACAAAAAAYAAAACATGAAACGAAAATTAATGAAAACTTATTTAATTCATCTCAAAAAATAATTATGTAAAAAAAAWTTTTTTTGTCAGCATGCAGGCCGATATTTGGTGACCTACAGGTTAAAATAATAAAAATGCAACGAATCCCTGAATTTTTAAACTGCGAAATTAATTAATAAATAAATAAAATTTGCACGATAAAGATAAATGCATAAATTGAACCTATGGCAGTATTTATTTATTATTGTTGATTTTACCTGTCCGTATTCGATCGGAGTAGGTTCTTTGTACTGTTCATTGTTTTCCTAAAAAAAACAATATGACAAATAAAACACATATTACAATTATTATTTTTAACAACATTTAATGAAACATCTAATTTTTTCATAATCTCACGTTCTCGTTGTATCCAGTGCCGCCGTGGTTTAAATCCCAATACTGTTCACCGTAACTGCCGTCTTTGTCACCCCATTTCACCTATATAAAACACATACCTATTGAACGTTTTAYGGCATGATAAATTTAACGTAAGATAATCATAAATTCAATAAATCACGTTTTTTGAAATATTTCATTTACATATTTTATGTCGTTACACAGTTTTCGAAAAATCCCATTTTTAATTTTCTTTTTCCCAGCAGAATATTAYTTGGGATATTTTAATCTATAAAAATCAATTGTCGGCAGGTAGTTTGTTAGTTTTTACATATAAAAATAATAATAGTATCTATTTATAAGTTAGATATGAGTATAGTAGCACATTAACATTTAGCAGGGTATACTCATCATGTCAAATCATGTATCACTTCACTTCGTCCATATAAACTTTAATTTTTAAATAGGAATACTTATAACAATATAACTTGGTTATAAAATACTCATCCAAAATTTGATTTTTATGTATCTAAGTARATATTATATACTCATAAATAATTTTCTCCTTTGTAATGGAGAATAAAAAATGTACAAATTATAATAAATGTAACAATTTAATGTTACGTAATACGAATATTATTCAAAAACAATAGTAATTTTTGAAATATTTATAGTATCTTTTACATTCAATATTTTACTTAAAAATATTAATTATCAATTAAATATTATTAGTTAATAATAGCGAACTCGCCTTTCCTTGGTGCCGTTGTGCTTCGAAATCTTTTTTTTCATATCTCTGTTCCCAGACGTTTGGATCCTCGAACACATGTCCAAACTCCAATTGTTGAGGCCCGCTTTGTAACGAATAAACGTCCCTAAAACCCGAAGATAAATTTAAAGAAATAATCTGTTGAACGACATAATAAAAACCAATTTTTCATGTATTTCAGTATAATTGTAGGTATATCATATATCAATACACATGGTGATAGATTTTACTGGTTACACTAAATTTCAAGCACGTATCCAGGATCAATTTTAGGGGGCTAAATCCCCCCCCCTGTATACGGGCCTGCTAAATTTGTATGTCAATTTATATGTAATGTAACAACTTCTAATTATTGATAATTATTGAATTAAAAAAAAAAAAAACTGTAAAAATATTATATTAGTATATTATTATATATTTTTGGAAAAACAGCGTTTACTTATTAAAAATACGTAGATATAATAGTTACCAAATTATATATATGAATATCAAACGAACATAATATAATATATACAAATAATTGAAAACGAACAGATTATAGTGAACTAGTGAAGCCATATCTGCGATCCTAGCATGAAAATAACGTATTATAATATTCTATCGGTGTTTGCTGATCGTTACGTAGGATTTTCTCAGCCGCTATTTCACTTTTATTTTATATCAATAACTGCACCAAAACGCCATTTCGTACCACGGGACTTCCGACACGTTAATTCAAAATAAATAGGTATACCTATATTATACACTAAATTATGAATCAGTGCGGCTGCTTACATGAAATGCTTGTTTTCCGCGTCCTCGTCTTCCACTTTCTCTTGCAACTGAGTGTCGTCAAMTGTGTCCCTATTGCTGCCAGCTGTTAACAAATATACGTTTTAGCGTGTTATGCACAGTTATTATAATTCGATATTTATTTGTATAATATTATATCATTATTGTTGTCGGTCGCTGTAGCGTTTACCTCCGGCTGCGTATCGATCCTTGGACTCGTGATGATCGACTACAGTAATGGCCGTAGTGACGCCATAATAATAGCAAGTCTGCAAAAAAAAAAAATGTAAAACCATTTACTATAAATGCCTTACTTTATGATACATAATCCGTTTACGGTATAATATACAGAGTATACTTCACCAAGCACGCTCAATGCTGATCTCCGATTTTCACATTTAAATATAATGAATTCATTACTGTTCTAATTACCGGAATTTTTTCATATACATGGTAATTATATATACTTAAAAAATGTCTTGTATTGATACGAGCTTCTGTTTTTTAAATTAAAATCAACCTTTTTACTGTAAATTATTTAGCGAGTAGTTGTTTTGAAAATATTGATATACCTAATTCAAAATTCGAACGAGTAGTATCACCACCACGTGTACATAGTATATACACTATACATACATAGGTATTTTATCCAGAACTGGTGTATTGTGGGGAAAGATTATAGGTTAAGTTAGCATATATGATAAAGATATAGGTACAACATAAACTCAATTTTCTAGTTTTTCTTTAGCGCKTATTCCCTAAATCAAGGGCCGGCAACCTTTTAGACATCAACGGCCAAAAAATCAATTCATATATTTCACGAGCCACAATATAAATATACCTAATTTTATTTTAAACAAAAATATGTAATCTTTAATCATATCAAATGTAGTTTATTAGTTCATTATACTGTATGTTAACAACTGTCATTTAACATTGTATCTACAAGCGAATCACGTTTTAATCCACAGTCTCCTGTCSATACTATCTTAATTATCTTAAACAAATTATACATTTTACTCACCGGCCACATATATTAATTATATATAATTACTATGAGGACAACATACAGGCGTGGTTGCCGAGCCCTGCAGTTCTACATGTAAAATGATAGGCGAGGGTATTGGCCTCGCTCGTATAGTGCAGGTATACCTATA